GGGGCAGAGCAGGGCTGGGTGGGGCTTCCTCCCTGCCCCCCATGGGGGCTGGCCCCGCCGCACTGCCCCAAAAGTTCCTAAATTCCCTCCTAGGGTGGTGCGCCCCACAGTTTGGGGACCACTGCTCTAGAAGGGAAAGGCCCTGTGCCCCCTTCCCTGCCCCCCTCCCCAAGCCAGCCAGTCCCCCGCTCTGGGGCAGGATTGGAGCCAGTGCCCCCTAGAGAGGAAAGGCCCCATTCCCCATTCCCCAAATCCAGGGCTCATGTCTGGTCTGGGAGCTTTAGCCCAGAGGTCCCCCCCCACAGGGGTTCTACGCTGTGACCGACGCAGCCTGTCCAATCCCCAGCCACGGCGCTGCAGCCGACCCAACGCTAGCAACCAAATGCCCTCGCGCCATCCCCAGCCCCCCTAACGTTCTCTCTTTCCATGGCAGCGCGACCACTGAAGTGTGCCCGGGCTCTTCGGCCAGCACCAGGCAATCCCACATCTACAGCCAGCCGATGGACATGGGCAAAGTACCACAGGTGAGTGATTCATTCCTCTGTGTACACGGGGTCCAGGACTCCTGGGTTCTATCCGCGGCTCCTGGAGGGGAGTGGGGTCTAGTGGGTTAGGCCCGGGGGAGGGGGGCAGAGGCTGGGAGCCAGGACTCCTGGGTTCTATCCCAGCTCTGCCCCCTGTGAGATCAGCTCCCAGTGGCAGCGAGATCAGGCTGGGCTGGGTGCCCTGGGTCAGGGGGAGCACAGCTGCTGGGCAGGGGAGGGGGCATCGCCCAGCAGCTGGAGGGCACAGAGGTGGGCAGGAGGCTGAGTTACGGGGCTGGGGGGTGACATGAAGAGGAGAGCGCCCCGGAGGGAGGGCTCTGTATCGCCTGGGGCAGTGGGACAAGCTCTGGGCAGCTGGCGTTTGCAGAAATATTTCACCCACTGGCTGGGGCAGGGAATGGGGCCTGGGGCCTTTCCCCTGTAGGGGGCCCCAGCTCTGATCCAACTGCTGGTGACTCAGTAGCAGCATTACTTTGAGCTGATGGAGTAGCTCCATTAGATGGCAGGAGTAGCAGAGCTGTTATCCCCCAAGGGGAGCTGAAGGAGTTGCTCCATTAGCCAGCAGGAATGGTAGGGCTCTTATCCTACCTGTGTGTCTCCCACTACGGAGGTGATGCCCTTAGCCGGTGTGTTTGTGTCGATATAAGGGGGCTCCAGAATGCCAGGTGCTGTGATGATCATCAAGGCTAAAACTGGGGGGGGAGGAGTTGTTTTTAGGAGACAGTGTTGCCTAGTGGATAGAGCACTGGCCTGAGACACAGGACACCTGGGTTCTCTTTGTGGCTCTTCCGCCTGCCTGCTGGGTGACCTTGGCTAAGTCACTTCCCCGCCTGGTGCCTCAGTGTCCCCCAGCCGTGCCTTGAGCTCTGCTGATGTCAAGTTCCGCGTCAGAGCTGGGGGTTCGCATTATTATTCTTCACCCTAGGGTGACCTGGACGAGGTCAACTACTCGGCCATCCAGCTGCAGCCTCCCCCCCGGAGAGCAGAGCCTGAAGCCGACCTCACCTGCGAATACGCTGCTATTAAGCGCTAGCATCCAGCTGTTGCTCACCTGGCGCCTCCCCCCAAATTCAGGGCAGCCCCACGGCCTGGGCGACACACGAGGCCAGGCTGGGTGATCTCCCCGCCCCCGGCTGAGCTGAGACTCTGGGAATTAGGCTCCAAATTCAGAGGTTTGCTAAGATCTGGATTCTTAGAAGTGGCCCCATAAATGGGGCATTCAAGGGGGCGCCTCAGGGATCGGAGGGTGGAGGGAGGCACTAAGGCCCAGCTCCTGGAAGGGATTTCAGTGCCTAACTCCCCTGGGGCTTCACTCCCGCAGAAGGGCTTTTTCTGTCACTTCCCATTGACTCAATAGACATTCCAGGCTTCAGCGCGACGCAGACACAGCGCGGCTCTGCTGGACTCACACTATAAAGCTTTAGAACTAAAACACAAAGTGTCGACTGTCTTGTTATAGCCGCTTGGCCCTGGGCTGGGAGAGAGACAAGGTGGGTGACGGTGAAATCGAGGTTTCCTGCCATTGAGTAATGAAAATAATTGAAATCTTCCGAGCCTACATGTATTTATGTCAGACCAAGAGTCAGTGAGAGACCAGCCTTATAACCAATAACCGCCCTTATCCTAAGCTAATGCACCAATTTCTTTGTGGCGGATTCTAGGCCCCATTGCCAAACCTCTTACTGAACAGACGTTCACTTAGTACGTCCACAGGCTTGGAGGATTTGGTTTTTAGTGGTAAACGTCAATTTCGCCATATTCACACCAACCGCCAAAACATATTTCCCTTGGTAATAATTGACATCGGCAGATGGGCCAGGTAAGAAAACTGTGGCTTGAGAACTTAGTGTTTGATTTAAGGATATTGAGTTGGGAATTTTGACCGGGGATGTTGACGATTTGTGTTTTAAGAGTTGTAAAGTGTTCACTCTTTCAACCTCGACACATGCAGTCATGAAATAAATATTGGCTGACACACACACCCCCTCCACAATTTCCTGCAATTAGGACAATTTAAAGTGATAAAATTAGTTTAAAGGCCATAATTTTGCACAATTGTGAAAATTTAAAATCAATCAAAATCTGAAACATGATGAAGAATAAATATCGATATTATCTCTTGAACTTAGGGCTGTTGATTAATCGCAGTTCACTCACACGATTAACTCAAAATAATCATGCTTAAAAATATTAATCACGATTAAGCGCAGTTTTAATCGCACTGTTAAACAATAGAATGCCTATTGAAACGTATTAAATATTTTGGATGTTTTTCTACATTTTCATATATGTTACATTCTGTGTTGTAATTGAAATCAAAGTGTACATTATTTTTTATTACAAATATTTCCACTGTAAGAATGATAAACAAAAGAAATAGTATTTTTCAGTTCACCTCATACAACTACTGAAGTGCAAACTCTGTCGTGAAAGTGCAACTTACAAATGTAGATTTTTTTTTTTTGGTTACATAACTGCTCTCAAAAACAAAATAATATCAAACTTTACAGCCTACAAGTCCACTCAGTCCTACTTCTTGTTCTGCCAGTCGCTCAGACAAACAAGTTTGTTTACATTTGCAGGAGATAATGCTGCTCGTGTCTTCTTTACAATGTCACCAGAAAGTGAAAACAGGCATTTGCATGGCACTTTTGTAGCCGGCATTGCAAAGTATTTACGTGCCAGATATGCTAAACTTTCATATGCCCCTTCATGCTTCGGTCACCATTCCAGAGGACATGCTTCCATGCTGATGACTCTCATTAAAAAAATAATGTGTTAATTAAATTTGTGACTGAACTCCTTGGGAGAGAATTGTATGTCCCCTGCTCTGTTTTACCTGCATTCTGCCATATAGTTCATGTTATAGCAGTCTCGGATGATGACCCAGCACATGTTGTTCATTTTAAGAACACTTTCACTGCAGATTTGACAAAACGCAAAGAAGGTACCAATGTGAGATTTCTAAAGATAGCAACAGCACTCGACCCAAGGCTTAAGAATCTGAAATGCCTTCCAAAATCTGAGAGGGACGAGGTGTGGAACATGCTGTCAGAAGTTTTAAAAGAGCAACACTCCGATGCAGAAACTACAGAACCGAACCACCAAAAAAGAAAATCAACCTTCTGCTGGTGGCATCTGACTCAGACAATGAAAATGAACATGCGTCAGTCCGCACTGCTTTGGATTGTTATCGAGCCGAGCCCGTCATCAGTATGGACACATGTCCCCTGGAATGGTGGTTGAAGCACGAAGGGACATAGGAGGCTTTAGCGCATCTGGCACGTAAATATCTTGCAATGCCGGCTACAACAGTGCCATGCGAATGCCTGTTCTCACTTTCAGGTGACATTGTAAACAAGAAGCGGGCAGCATTATCTCCTGCAAATGTAAACAAACCTGTTTGTCTGAGCGACTGGCAGAACAAGAAGTAGGACTGAGTGGACTTGTAGGCGCTAAAGTTTTACATTGTTCTATTTTTGAATGCAGTTTTTTATGTACATAATTCTACATTTGTAAATTCAACTCTCATGATAAAGAGATTGCATTATTATATTTGTATTGGGTGAATTGAAAAATACTATTTTTGTTTTTTTACAGTGCAAATGTTTGTAATTAAATATAAATATAAAGTGAGCACTGTACACTTTGTATTCTGTGTTGTAACTGAAATCAATGTATTTGAAAATGTAGAAAACATCCAAAAATATTTAAATAAATGGTATTCTATTATTAACAGTGCGATGAATTTTTTTAATCACTTGACAGCCCTAGTTGAAATTATAAACCAGTAAAAATCTCACACTCTCTATACAGCGGTCTCCATATATACTGTGAACTCCTTTTATAACAATCACATCTGCTCCGGATTATTGGATTCTTACAAGCGGTCGCTTCTTGCAAGTGGAGTATAGGTATGATTTTGTCCCAGTGGTTTTGCTCACTGGTTTTGATACGCGACTGATTCTTATAACAGTGATTCTTATAACTGGAGTGCACTGTATATCTATCAAATCTGTAGAGGCCGCACCTATATATCCATATAGCCACATATGTGTTGCTCTGCATTGGTGTTCGAGAAGGCAGGGCCCAGAAATGACCCGGCTCCAGGAGCAGAAGGTGGGGAGTAGAAACAAGTGAACGTGTTCACATGAAACTTTTTTTGATCAGGAAACACAGGGTCGGTGCCACCAAAACATCGCGCGATTTCAGGTGGGTTTTGCTAAATTGTTTCAATAGAAGATAAAACCGCCAAAGCCTCTAATTGGTTCAGTCCAAAATGATTTTTTTTGTTTCAAAAATTCCTTTCATGTGTTGTTTTTAAATCAAAACCATTGAAAATTGGTCAAACTTGACAGGAATTTTGTTTCCAATTTTTTGGCGTTGCTGGCACACCAGAAAATCTGTTATTTGCCCAGCTGTGATGGGGCAGCCCCACCCTGACCATACATCCCTGGCACAGTCATTCCCACCAGTGCAAAGAGGCTATTGAAGCCTGACCCAACTGCCCTGCTGAAATTGGAAAGGGACCCACGAGCATCTCCGTTCTGCAAGGATTAAGCCCACGCTGAGCTGTGACATTAGACTGAGGCCTGGATCCTGTAGTAGGTCCAGCCACTGGGCGGTAACAGGGGTCCGATGGCAGGATCGGGGCCAAAGTGTCTCCTCCTGGCTCAGGGTTAAAATGCTGAGCTGTGAATCCTGAAGGCGAGTGAGGGATCGCAATGCTAAGAGAGCCCTGGGGTGGGTAATATTGGGCAGCGTGTACTCTCCGGGCCGTGCAGTTTGCAGGACTAGAGGGTTTGGTTAATCAATCCACACATCTCAAGGGACTGTTCTGCACAGGAAGTTTGCCCTCGTGCCCAGCCCGGGCCGGAGAACCTCCCCCAGGGGACCCTGCACCCAGCCCAGATCTGGAGTGGGGGACAGTCAAGCTAGGGCATCATTAACTCCGCCCCTTTGCATGTGTGCCCTTAACTCTGCCCCCTTTGCAGATTTCCAGCCCAGATCTGGGGGTCGAGATAGAGCTGGGCTTTTAGTGAGACACCCGATCACCATGGAAGGACTCAAAGGTTTGGAGAATCTGCCCCCTCCCTGGGGTAGTTGTTGTGAGGTTCAAGTCCTCTCCTTGGGGAGAACCTGCCCCTTATTTCCAGTCTGGATTTGTTTGGCTTCATCCCCCAGCCAGCGGATCTCGCTTTGCCTTTGTGGGGTGGGTTAAACAGCCTCTGCTCTCTGACATCTCCTCCCCAGAGAGGTGCTGATAGACCCGGACCAAGGCACCTCCCTCCCTGGCACTGTGGGTGACCCAGATTCAAGCCCTTGCTCTGTTTAATTCACATTAGGGCATCGGGACCAGCCCTGACTGCTATGGGAGAGCCCCCACCCCGCCCCCTGCAGCACAGCGCCCCCTATTGCTGTCCTGAGGCATCGGGGCCAGCCCTGCCAGGGGAGAGCGCAGCCACCTGTTTCCTGCAGCACAGCGCCCCCAGTGCTGCTCTGGGGCATCAGGGCCAGCCCTGACTGCTAGGGGACAGCGCCTCACCCTGCCCCCTGCAACACAGCGCCCCCAGCGCCATGCTGTGGCATTGGGAAGACCCCCCCGAAAGGGAACACAACACTAGGCACCATGTGGATTTGTAAAATACATTTTATTTCCTTGGGAATACAAAGTCTGCTGGGTTAAAGTCATTAAACGGTTGGCACCTCACGGAACAACGACACACAACGAAACCGACATAGTCTTGGAATTAATCCAGCTCTCCTGATATGTTCGCTAGCCTAGTTCTACCTGGGAGCAGGGCTGGCTAAGCCAGTGGCACAATTGTGTCCTGTAACACACGTACACACGCGCACACATGCTACTCAAAAGTTACTGCGCTAATCCTGGCTTCAATTATTTTTTACATTCTTCCCTATTTACATAGAAGCCAAGAACGGGAATTGTCCACACGACTTAGTGCCAATCGATGGAGGCGGCGTTCTGGGTTAGGCTGCGGCTCTTTTACAAAGCTCTGGGAACACAAAGCCAAATAGCGGGAGATGGAAATGAAAGCTGGTTGAATTTAAATTTTGGTTTTTTTTTTGGGGGGGGGGGGGGGCGGGGATTCTGTGTTTTCAAACCAAAGAAGGCTCCGAATCGGAACAAAATGGCAACGTTTCCTGCAAAATGAAACTATGCGGTGAAAAAATGTCTTGTTTGGGTTTCAGCTTTTTTAATTGCGAGGTGACGTCGTTCTGGGCTGTGGAAACAGGAGTGGCGGACGTACGACACGGGCGGGACTTGGCCTGCTCTGGGGAGGCCGAAGTTGGAGAACCGTGTCTGGGTTGGGACGCTGCCCGTTCAGAAAGGGGTGGCCCGAATGGAGAGTCCAGGGCAGAGCCAGGAGTGCCGGAACCGGGGGGCCGCAGGGCCTGACCCCAGCACTTTCTACAGGACATAAGGGTCAGCGCCTGGTGGGGGGGAGGGGAGAGAGGAGCGAGCGAGAGGCGGGTCTTGAGGGGAAGAGGTGGGGAGAGAACAGGGCCTCGGGGGGAAGGGGTGGGGTGGGGTGGGGTCAGGGAGAAGGAGAGAAGGGGCGGGGCCTCAGGAGACTGCGTTACCTAGGGAGGTGGTGGAGTCTCCTTCCTTGGAGGTTTTTAAGGCCCGGCTTGACAAAGCCCTGGCTGGGATGATTTAGCTGGGAATTGGTCCTGCTTTGAGCAGGGGGTTAAATAAATAAATAAATAGAGATATCCCATCTCCTAGAACTGGAAGGGACCTTGAAAGGTCATCGAGTCCAGCCCCCTGCCTTCACTAGCAGGACCAAGTACTGATTTTGCCCCAGATCCCCAAGTGGCCCCCTCAAGGATTGAACTCATAACCCTGGGTTTAGCAGGCCAATGCTCAAACCACTGAGCTATCCCTCCTCCTGAGGTACCTTCCAACTCTGATATTCTATGATTCTATGAGGAGGGGCAGGGCCATGGTTCAGACGATGGTGGCCCCCCCACTATTAGACAGCTTCCACCACTCCTGGGGAGGGCAGCAGAACAGATCAGCGATTTAGAAAACTTGACCATTGACGAAAGATTAAAATAATCGGGCCTGTTTAGTCTAGAGAAGAGGAGGCTGAGGGCGGACCTGAGAACAGCCTTTAAACATGGTCTGGGCAGGGGAGATTGAGGTCAGGTATTAGGAGAAACTTCCTAACGCTCCAGGGCATTCAGCTCTGGACTCTGCTTCCAGGCAGGTTGTGGGATTCCCGTCAGCGGAGGGTTTTAAGACCAGGTTCAAGAAATGCCTGACGGGGATGGTCTGGGGTTACTTGGTTCTGCGGCAGTGCGGGCGGCTGGCTGCCTCGCGAGGTCCCTGGGTCCTTTCCACCCAGCCCTCATGTCGACGTCATTCACGTGGTTCCTTTACCTGCCAGAGCTCTGTGAAGTGGCCTTATTATTATTATACCAGAGCCTCAAGCGCCGTGTTTTATTTTACATCTCATCACGTCACATCCAGCTAATCAATAAATAGAGCCTAGATCCGGGGGCCTGGAAGGGTTAACAGGGTTAGGGGGAGGTCTCTGGGCAGAATTAAGTGCTGGTTAGAGAGTTTTGACCTTGTTAGTCTGGGCTTTTTATTTATTTCGTTGTCTATCATCAGGCAAATATCTGTACAAAAATGACACCAAAAATAAATGACGATTTGTTATAAATTTCCCCCAGGACAGCTGGTGCTGACGGATCATAGAATTCCAGGGGGTCGGACCCAGAACGTGAGCACCTGTTTATCCCAGTGGGAAACAAAGATTACAGCTGTGGGGGTTTTGGGGCTCCTGATATACATCTGAGCCACCCAGAGATTTCCCCTCGGAAGAACGATGTCAATTAGATGTGTGATTTTCTACTGGTCTAGTTATACCAGTAGGACAGGGCTGATCTGTCTATACCAGCACAGCTGTGGGGGCCGTTATCCCAGTGGGACAGGGTTTTAGCCCAGTCCAGTGTATTCCCCTTCCTGGCTGGGGATGGCTGTGCTGGTCTAAGCAGCTGTATACCATAGACAGAAAAACGATGTTGTTCCTTCGGCACGTGGAAAGACAGATTGGGGGAATTAGAACAAGGCCTGGATGGGTTTAGGGAGGATCCCCCAGGCCCGTTTTATATAGGGTCCGCCAGGGCTATCTAGGCAGGTACTTGCATGGGTCTTATAGAGATAGCTCAATGGGGTAATTAACAGGGCTTTGGTTGAGCCTCCCAATCGGTGCCAAATTTAGCCACACAAAAGCCTGGGGTGGGAGGGAATTATGAGCCACATTGTGCACAGGAGAAATTAAGAGATTGTGGGGAAACTGAGGCACACAGCGAGGTTAGGACATACCTCAAGGTAGCACAAAATCTGTAGCATAGGTGGGATTTAAACCGCAGGTCTCCTGAGTCCCTGTGCAGGGCCAGACCCACATAACCAGCCATAGGGCTGTCAAAGAAGGGGCATCAGGATATGAGGCGCTGCCCAGACACGCAGCAAGAGACAGTCCCTGCCCTAGCTGAGATCAGGGCCCTGTTGCCCCAGAAGTTGCCCAGACACACAGCAAGAGACAGCCCCTCTCCCAGCTGCATTCAGTCGAAGGTCCTGATTGCAGTGGGTGGGGCTTCCATGGCAGGGGGCGTGTCCTGCCATTAGTGGGCGGGGCAGGACCTGCACTCTGCATGGGGTTGATCCCGGTAGGCAGGGTTTCCGTGGCGGGGGCGTGCCTGGTGATTTGGGGGCACAGACAGGTCCTGATTCCAGCGGGCGTGGTTTCCGTGGCAGAGCGTGGGTCACTGTGGGGGGTAGGGGGCGCTCACTTGACGCGGATCTCTGCATACTCCGCCAGCTCCTCCGTCAGGGTGTAGCTGTCCTTGGTGGGCAGTTTGGTGAAGTCGATGTTGGCGTAGTCCACGTTCAGGTCCAGGGAGCCCTCGGGCTTGTTCAGGAGGCGTTTGTCGGAGGCCAGGCGCCGCTCGTACTGCGGGGGAAGCAGAGCAGCGTCAACCTGGGTACGATTGGCGTGTTCACCCGTGGGACTCCCTGACACTGGAGAGTATATGGCTAGCCTGCGGGACTCCCTGCCACTGGATATTACAGGATTAACCTGTGGGATTCCTTGGCAATGTATATTATAGGATAAACCTGTGGGACTCCCTGATGGTGAAAATTATAGGCTTACCTGTGAGGCTTCCTGAGCCTGGATATGATAGGGTTACCTGTGGGACTCCCTGACACTGGATATTAACCCCAGGAGTCCCTCCTACTGGGTATTATATTGTTAACTCACAGGACTCCCTCCCCCTGGATATTATGGAATTAACACATGGGGCTCTCTGCCACTGGATATTATAGGATTAACTCACAGGACACCCTGCCACTGGGTTTTAGTGGGGTTAACCATTGGGACTCCCTGCCACTTGATACTAGGGGCTCAACCTATTGGATTTGCTTCAGGAGGATACCATTGGGGTTACCCGATCCAATAATACCGTAGTTTACCTAGGAAATTCACTGCCACTTGATCTTACTGGGATTACCCAGTGGGACCTTATTGGCGTTAACCTGGAGAACTAATGACTGCAGGATCCTTTCCAAAGGATGCATTCCTAACCAGAGCTCTCCTGGGCAGGGAGTGCCAGGGGTGCGAGGACTGTCCCATGGGGGGGGTCTGTTAAGATTTTATGCCACAAAGAGACTAGACCACGGAACGAGCAGAGGGAGAAGGGAAAACACCACAACACTGCAAGGAACCTTGCTGCCAGGACAAGGGGCTGCCGATATTCCAAGAAAACCCCCATGCCCTGCCCCACAGCTGAACTGTGAGAGCTACCCAAGCAACAGGCTAGAAACCAGAACTGGTGCCCCCTAGAGGGGAAAGGCCCCATGCCCTATTCCCCACCACCATGAGCCCAACAGTCCCCAGTTCTTGGGCCAGATCAGAACCAGCGCCCCCTAGGGGAAAGGCCCTGTGTCCCATTCCCTGCCCAGCCAGTCCGCTGCATGACTGTGGGGTGCAGAAGGGGTCCCCGTGTCCGAGCCAAGGTGTGACGCACACTGGTGGGGGGTGACACAGACTGGGGAATCCAGACTTACCCGGGGGTCAGTGGCTCTCCAGGGAGCAGATCTCCTTAGACTAGCGGAGAAGGAAGAGCTGTCACTGTGTACCTGGGGGGACGACCCCTTGCTGCCGCCCCATATGGAGGATGCCTCTGGGGAGCACCTCCGAAGCCGCAGCTTTACGGACTGGGTCTGGGATGCAAAGGGATGGAAGAATCCCTTCCCCCACCCCATTCACCAGCCTGGGGCTGGATCATAGGAACATAAGAACGGCCAGACTGGGTCAGACCAAAGGTCCATCTAGCCCAGTGTCCTGTCTGCCGACAGTGGCCAATGCCAGGTGCCCCAGAGGGAATGAACAGAACAGGGAATCATCCAGTGATCCATCCCCTGTCGCCCATTCCCCGCTTCTGGCAAACAGAGGCTAAGGACACCATCCCTGCCCAGCCTGACTAACAGCCATTGATTGACCGATCCTCCATGAACTTATCTAGTTCCCCGAGAGAGGAAAGGCCCCCACGTCCCATTCCCCGCCCCCCTGAGCCAGCCAGTCCGGCTAGATTTCCTCTCCGGTTATGGACACTAAATAGTGCCTGACAACATAGAGGACTCAACTTTATCTAAACTACCCATCCCCATCCACCCCACTCCACTTATCCACATCCCCTCCCTCCATCCATCCACCCCTATACACACCCCTCCCTCCCTCCATCCATCCCCATCCACACCTCTCCACTTATCCACCCCTATACCCATTCCCTCCATCCCTTCATCCATCCACCCATTGATCCCCATCCACACCTCTCCACACCCCTCCATCCATCCATCCACTCCTATACACAGTCCTCCACTTATCCACCACTATACACACCCATCCCTCCATCCACCTCATACACACCCCTCCATCCATCCATCCATCCATCCATCCATCCACCCCAGACACACCTCTCCCTTCCTCCCTCCATCCACCCCCATACAAACCCCTCCATCCACCCCATACACACCCCTCCCTCCCTTCATCCCCCCCTCATGCACCCCTCCCTACCCACACACGCAGCACTCTCTGCACCTCCCTGTTCTCCCCGCCATGCCAGTCCCATCATCCCACCTCGGATTTGTCCAGGGCTCCCGGGGGCCGGTACTCGCCGCTGTATGCCACGGGCGGGTGCTCCAGCTGCACAAAACTGGAGTTTTCATTCACGTTTTTCCTGGGGAGAGAGAGACAGCACAGACACCTCTGTCACTGACGACCCCCACAGTGTAGGGGGGAGATTCTCTGTCACTGGGCAACCCCCACAGCCGGGGGAGGGGGGGATTCTCTGTCACTGGGTGACCCCCGCAGGCGGGGGGGGGGAGGGCAATGCCCTGTCGCTGGGTGACCTCAACCCCCCCTTATGACATTACATATCTCATCCCTCAATTAACAATCTGCATCGCGTAACTGCATCTGCATTAACAATGTAATTTAATAATGATCTTACTAATCAAAAGGTAACAGTTTGCTCCTGATGTATCAGTAACTGAGAGTTGCTAATGAATTATCAATCATTAATTACCCACCAACCATCTTTGATTAGGATCAATTAATGGCTAATGCCCCAGACTGGTCAATAGGTGGCTGCTAATTACCAAACACGGATTAACATTGGTGCTTCATTAATTATGCCGTTAGTCAGTCATTAGAAATGCCCTTTAACCAACGATTGTGGGTGACCGATCTGGATATAACTGTTTATCCTTCTCCTCCAAAAATGCTCCTTAGTTTTAAGCGAAGAACCGTCACGTGTGTTAATTGTTATTCTGCCTTTATTTAGCGGTACAAAAAATGGCGTCCTTCCCCTGCCAAAATCGCCCTGTCTAAAATAAACGATGAAAACGTGTTTAAAACGATTGTGGCGAATGACACTTAGTTCGGTGGGTGGCCATTTGCCGGCCGCCCCGGTAAGAGCGCCCCTCGTTTGAAAACCCGACTGGATCGGAAGATCCGCCTGGTGATGGCAGTTAGGCCAGGGGTTCTGCCTCGTACCGGCAGTGGACGGTCTGCGATCCGGCCTGGATTCGGGCCCCGGCGTCACCCCGCTCCCGGGACGCCCCGTTCGTTAGTACAGCTGAGCCCCGGGGGGGCTCCGCACTTACTTTTTCCGCGTCTGACTCACGTAACACACGGCGGCGATGAGAATCGCAAAGGCCACCACGGCGCCCACCGGCCCCACCTTCGCCCACATCAGATTGTCTGAAAGCAGCATGGGGCTGGGGTTAGTCCCGGCCTCTGCCAGCAGGGGGGTGCTGTGGGGAGTGGGGGGGAGGATGCTGGCTGTGGGGGAGCTCCCAATTACCCCAGTCCCGGACACTCCCAACAGGGGGCGCTGTGGGGAGCGGGGGGGAGGGGTGCTGGCTGTGGGCGGAGCTCCCAGTTACCCTAGCCCCAGCCTCTCCCAGCAGGGGGCGCTGTGGGGAGCGGGGCAGGAGCACTGGCCGTGGGGGGAGCTCCCGGCTACCCCAGCTCCGGCTGCTCCCAGCAAGGGGCGCTGTACGGAGCAGGGCAGACACTCACTGGAGTGGTGGAACTGGAGCTGCTGGTTCTTGGTGCCATACAGGTTGCGGGCGGAGCAGACAATGAAGAGCTGCGAGTCTGGCTCCCCGCGCAGCGTCAGGATGCTGGTGACCGTGTAGCCCGTCTTCTGGGAATAGACGAACTCCTGGTCAGTCTCGTTGACCGTCACGTTCCGGGTGGGCAGCTCGAAGGAGATCACGGGCTCTGGATTGGCCAGCACGGCGCAAACGCACTGCACCGTGTCCCGAGCCGCCGTGCACTTCGACTCCATGAGGATTATGGGAGCGACTGCGGGGAGAGACACAGCATCAGCATTGCGGAGATGCAGCCAGCTCTGGGGTGGGACAGCTGGGGAACAGCCATGCATAACACTGCACGGAAACAGTTAGGCTGGTGCTGAAATACAGCCAGCTCTGGGGCAGGGCACAGCCACACAACACTGCACAAGGACGGCCTGCCCCAGAGCTGGTTGAGATATAGCCGCACAAGGACGCCACACGGGGAGAGCTCGCCCGGCGCTGAGATGCAGCCAGCTCTGGGGCGGAGCAGCTGGGGAACAGCCACACATAACGCTGCCCAGGGACAGCTCGTCTGGTGCTGAGATGCAGCCACCTCTGCGGGGGGAGGAAGTGGGAGGAAAGCCCTGACACCCTCTTCCACCCGGCATGGGTGACTCACACTCCACGGTGAGGTTGAAGGCGGAGCCGCGCTGGCCGTACTGGTTCTCCGCCACACACCAGTACTCCCCGTCGTCCTCGTGGGTCACGGCGGGGATCTCCAGCAGCAGCTCGCTCTCGTAGACCACCGTGGCCACGATCTGCTTTTCCTTGAAGATGGTGATGATGGGCTCGGGGTTGCTCTCAGTGGTGCACAGGATAGTCACCGGCTCCCCCTCCACCGCCACCACCGAGGAGTTCACCGATGGCTTCCGTGGGGCATCTGTGGGGGTTGGGCAGGGGTTCACTGACCCATAGAGCCAGAACTATAACCACTAGGCACCACTCCCCTCCCAAAGCCAGGATAGAACCAGGAGTCCTGGCTCCCAGCCCCACCACACTCCCCTCCCAGAGCCGGGATACAACCCAGGAGTCCTGGCTCCCAGCCCCACCCTACTCTAACCACAGGCCCCATTCCCCTCCCAGAGCTAGGATGGAACCCAGGAGTCCTGGCTCCCAGCCCCACCCTACTCTAACCACAGGCCCCATTCCCCTCCCAGAGCTAGGATGGGAACCCAGGAGTCCTGGCTCCCACCTTCCACCCCCGCTCTAACCACTACGGCCCACTCTTCTCCCACCGCTAGGAAATAGAACCCAGGAGCAGCCCAACCCCCCCCCCCCCACCTCTAACCACTAGATCTCAATCCCCTCCCAGAGCCGGGCTAGAACCCAGGAGTCCGGGCTCCCAGCCCCTCCCCTCCGCTCTGACCACTAGACCCCTCTCCCCTCCCGCCCAGGCACTCACACATGACGGTGAGGGCCAGGGAGCGGTTCACCCGCCCGTACACGTTCTCGGCCACGCAGACGTAGATCCCGTCGTGTGCATGGGTGACGTTGTCCAGCTCCAGCGTCAAGTTGGTGGACGGCTCCTCCCGCAGCACGGCCTCCTCCTTGAACCACGCCAGCAAGGCCATGGGGTTGCTGTCCGCCACGCACAGCAGCACCACGTGCGAGCCCTCCGTGATCTCCAGGGACGAGTTCACCTGCAGGATCCGGGGCACGTCTGCGGTGGGGGAGGCAGAGCTGAGCCTTCGCTTGCGGGACTCCCGGCCACTGGAGGTCAGCGGGATTAACTTGCGGGACTCCCTGCCACTGGAGGTCAGCGGGGTTAACTTGCAGGACTCCCTGCCACTGGGTGTTTGGGGGTTTAGGCCACACTACTGGGTATTAGTGGGGTTAACCCACGGGACTCCCTGCCACTGGGTGCCAGCAGGGTTAACCCACAGGGCTCCTCTTGCTCTAAGCACTAGCCCCCACTCCCCTCCCGGTGCCAGGGCCAGAACCCAGCAGGCTGAGGGGGGCGGTGCTGGTGACTCACACTTGACGTCCAAGGTGGCGAAGGCCTCGAAAAGGAAGGTGGTGTTGGTGTAGGTGACCTGGCAGCCCAGCTCGAGCCCGTTGTTCTCCCGCGAGGGCTGGAACTTGAGCAGGGACACCTGGCTCCAGGTGCCGCTCTCCTCCTCCAGCTGGCCGAAGATAGCCTGTCCCTCCAGCACCTCGTGGTTCAACCAGCTCACCACCGGCTTCATGGTGGGGCAGTTATCCGGCACCACGCACCGCACCTCCGCCTCTGTCCCCACCACCACCGCAGCCGGGGGCACGATGGTGGGTTTGTCTGGCGAGGAAAGAGGCTGGGTGAAGCCAGGGACGCGGGCTCCAACCCACTGGACCCCACTCCCCTCCTGGAGTCGGGGATAGAACCCAGGAGTCCTGCTCCCAGTCCCCCCACCCCGCCGCTTTAACCACTAGACCCCACTCCCCTCCCAGAGCCATAGAGAGAACCCAGGAGTCCTAGCTCCCGGTCCCCTCACCCCACTGCTTTAACCACTAGACCCCACTCCCCTCCCAGAGCCATAGAGAAAACCCAGGAGTCCTAGCTCCCAGTCCCCTCACCCCACTGCTTTAACCACTAGATCCCACTCCCCTCCTGGAGCCGGGGATAGAACCCAGGAGTCCTGCTCCCACGTCTCCCCACCCCACCGCTTTAACCATTAGACCCCACTCCCCTCTCAGAGCCATACAGAGAACCCAGGAGTCCTGGCTCCCAGCCTCCCTCTCCTCTAACCACTAGACCCCACTCCCCTTCCAGAGCCAAGGATAGAACCCAGGAGACCTGGCTCCCACTCCCTCCACCCCACCACTTTAACCACTAGACCCTACTCCCCTCCTGGAGCCAGGGGTAGAACCCAGGAGTCCTGCTCCCAGTTCCCGCCTCCCTGGCTCTAACCATTAGACCCCACTCCCCTTCCAGAGGCGAGAAGAGACCCAAATGCGCCCTGATGCAGCAGTAGGGGGTGCTGAGCTCCATGGCACAGGGTGCATGATTCACTCGGGGGGGGGGGGCTCTCTCTCATCACTGTTAATTCTGAGCCCCGAGAGGGGCAGGGGCCCCATGCCCCATTTCCCCCCGCCCGAGCCAGCCAGTCTCATGCCCTGAATCTGGATGGCAGCTGGCGCCCCCTAGAGGGGAAAGGCCCCGTGTCCCATTCCCCGATTCAGCCATCCCAGGGGCCTGGCCCCAGCGCCCCCCACTCACCGATGATCTCCAGGTTGCTGTGCTCCGAGTACGTGTACTGGTTGTAGCCGCCCAGGTCCCCGCGGAAGAAGTACTTCCCCGCCAGCTCGGGGCTGAGCCGGCTGAGTTGTAGGGTGCAGTTGCGGGCCTGGAGGTCGCCCAGCAGGTGGGTGCGGCCCTGGAAGCTCTCGTGAACGATGCTGGTGCGCGACTTGTACACCACGGGCGGGTAGTTCCGGGGGTAGGGGCTGTTGAAGTACCAGATGCCGTGCACGACCGAGGGGCGCAGCTCGTCCGGGTAGTCGAAATGGCACGGGATGGCCACGCACGTGCCCTCGAAGGCCATAATGGTCTGCGGCATCCACGCACTCCACGGCCCACCCAGGGTGCCTGGCGGGCAGACGGGAACGACAGGTGCTGGGCGATGGGGACAGGAACCCGCACGCCCGTCTCCTTTGCCGCCAACCTCTCCTGCCACGGACCGCCCTCCTTCCCGTCGATTTCCCCACTGCCCTCTTCTCTGCCCAGCTGCCAAACTCCGTCGGTCCCTGGTTTGTTACCCGTCTGTCCATCCCTCTCTATCCATCCATCCCCTCTCCACTATCCATCCATCAAGCTATCTCTCCCTCCCTCCACCTAGCCATCCATCCCTCTCTATCCATCCATCTCTCCCTCCCTCCACTTAGCCATCCATCCTTCTCTATCCATCCCTCCCTCCCTCCATGTGTCCATCCATCCCTCTCTACCCAGCCATCTCTCCCTCCACCTATCTCCCCATCCATTTATATCTATCCATCGCTCCCTCCCTCCACCTATCCATCTCTATCCATCCATCCCTCTCTAACATCCATCTCTCCCTCCACCTATCTATCCATCCATTTATATCCATCCATCGCTCCCTCCCTCCACCTATCTATCCCTCCATCCCTCTCTCCAACTATCCCTCCATCTCTCCCTCCCCCACCTATCCATCCATCCCTTTCTATCCATCCCTCTCTATCTATCCATCTGTTCTTCTCTCTGCTTATCCATCCATTCCTCCCTCCCTCCCACAAAACATTTATCCACACATCCATCCAATGAACCGTTTATCCATCTACCTACCCACCCAACCAGCCAACGGTCCATCCATCCATCCATCCATCCATCCATCCATCCAAACAATCCACCACTTATCCATCCACCTACCGACCCAATCATCTGACCAACCATTTGTCCATTTAACCATCCACTTAACCAACCTACCTTCTATCCATCCATCCCCCCACCCACCCAATCATCCATTCACCCAAATCACCATCCAGCCATCCCTGCTTTCATCTCTCTCTAATTATTTCTCAGACACTTGGTGGCGCCGTATCTAAACGCCACCTAAGCAACAAGTGCAATTCAACCTATATAAAATTACAGTTCTGACCCTCGCGGCCTCCTCTTTGACTCGCCCCAATGGATCCTGTTCCGGCGAGGACACCAAGCAGGGTTGCCTGTAGGTTCCCCCCAGCAGGGTCCCCCAATCCTGTGAGCGCAGCCCGAACCCGAGGCCTCTGGGAACCCTCTTCCGGCAGAGCTAGGTCAGGGCTATTCCCGTGCTGGGAACGTTAGACCTAAATGAACACGCACCTGACTCTGGAACTCCTCCCGTGCCTCAGTTTCCCTGCTGACCCAACCACCAGCTTTCAGCGCCCAGTTAGAACCCAGATCCTACTCCCCAAGCTCTCATCATGGCTAGTGGGGTAGGGGAGGAGGTATCCCATGGAAAGCATCCCTCTGTTTCCCCCAATGTGGAGAGCTCCCCAAAACATACACCCACAGCTTTGGAGGACACACACACCCCCATCAGGGAGTAGATAGCTTGTTCTCCTGGGGTACAATAGAGCTAGACAAGGTCCAACAAACTCAGCTCACGTGCCAGGAAAATTTGAACCGCCGAAGGTGAGCTGATTGGCAGGGCTGAAAAACCAATCAGACGCACCATCCCGCCCGCTTGGCTATGTCTGTGTGATGACGCAGGGCGAGTGGACAGTTCATGCATTGGGGTGTATGAGCTGCCGACTCCCAGCAATAGCTCTGGTTGTTAGCTCCCGCGAGCCCCAGGTTCAAACCCACCCTCTGGAGACAGGGGGTCCCCTCCGTACCTCCAAATAGGATCCCCAAGGTGAGCAGAACCCCAGCAGCCTTCATCTTCTCAGGGGGCGGCGAGATTGTGTCAACTGGGGAGAGAGAAAAGGGGCTTAGATGAGGTGTGGTTGGTGTTATCCCATCCAGCAGGGGGCGGCGTGCACCCAAACAGAGCAGATTCATTCCTCCCAGCAGGAGGCGCCGGGACCTTCAAACAAACAGTCGGGGAGAGACCAGGGCAAATGGGCACCAAAACTAGAGGTCATTCATTGCAAGCAGCAACTGCTGTGATGCCCCCTCAGGGCCATGCTGGGGATAGAACCCAGGGGTCCTGGCTTCCCCTCCCACATCCACCCTCTGCAATCAGACCCTTCCCTTCCCCTACAGAAGTAAGGATGAAATTAACCAGAAAGAAACTTTCAGGGTGGATCTCAGGGGACAATTCTCCCAATGCAGAGGTATGGGGGAAGTCTCTGAGGTTGGGGAATCACTTCCCAACAAGGGGAAAGAAGTGGGGTCTAGTGGTTAGAGCGGGGGGAGTGGGGGTTGGGAGCCAGGACTCCCTGGGTTCTCTCCCTGGCACTGGGAGGGTAGTGGGGTCTAGTGGTTAGAGCGGGGGGAGTGGGGGTTGGGAGCCAGGACTCCCTGGGTTCTCTCCCTGGCACTGGGAGGGTAGTGGGGTCTAGTGGTTAGAGCGGGGGGGCTTGGGAGCCAGGTCTCCTGGGATCTCTCCCTGACACTCGGGAGATTTAACCCCAGGCCCGGGTAGGTGTTTCCCATCCCCGGTTGCCCCACAGGCTCTCAGCTGTGACTCCAACAGGGCAGGGAGATCCCTGGCCCAGGGGGGGAAAATGCAGCCTCAACCCAACCCAAGGAAACATGGGAACAGAGCAGTCACTGCTGTTCTCACAATGGCCTCAAGATGGCAGTGGGGCCTCGCAGAAACGCAGCCACATTCACACACAGTAAAATAGTAGCAGAGCCAGGGAGAGAACCCAGGAGTCCTGGCTCCCAGCCCCTTCCACTCTAGCCCCCACTCCCCTCTCAGAGCTGGGGGGAGAACCCAGGAGTCCTGGTTCCCAGCCATCCCGTCTTAACCTCAAAGACAGTCCCCCTGGGGACACAGACGCTCCCCTATTAGCAGCACAGCTCCCAGGCTGGTCGGTTCCGACTCCGAAGTTGTGGTGGCTGCCCCGGGTCCGACGGGCACCGTGAGGAGCTAGCGATGGAGCAGCCCTGAGAGACACAACGGCTTGGAGGGCCCAGGCCTTGAACAGTCACTATGACACAGGGCCTGGAGGGGGTGGCTAGGACCGACTCAACCCAGAGCTCCATAGGCCTAGACCTTGAGTAGCCCCATGGCATGGGGGGAAGGAGAAAAGGGGTCTATAGGGCCAACCCTACCCAACCCTAGACTCTGAGTAGCAGACCTGGGGGAGGGGGTAGAGAGGTCTGTGGAACCAACCCTACTCAGGCCTAGGCCTTGAGTAGCCCCACGACATGGGGAGAAGGGGATGAGAGGCCTATGGAGAGAAGCCAACCCCACTCAGGCCTGGACTATGAGTAGGGTTGCCATTCATCCAGTTTTTGACCAGAACTCCCAGTCGAAAAGGGACCCTGGTGGCTCTGGTCAGCACCGCTGACTGGGCCATTAAAAGTCTGGTTGGCGGTGCAGCGCGGCTAAGGCAGTCTCCCTGCCTGCCCTGGCCCTGCGCCACTCCCAGAAGCGTCCGGCACGTCCCTACAGCCCCTAGGCACAGGGGCGATCAGGGAGGTTCCGTGCACTGCCCCTGCCCCCAGCCACGGCTCCGCAGCTCCCATTGGCCAGGAACCATGGCCAATGAGAGCTGTGGGGGTGGTGCTTGCGGGCGCAGGCTGCTCGCAGAGCCCCCGACCCCTCTGCCTAGGGGCCACTGCTGCAGGGACATGACGGCCACTTCCGGGAGCAGTGCGGGGGAGCCTGCCTGAGCCCCGCTGCGCCACCAACCGGGAGCTGCCTGAGGTAAGTGCCACCCATGCACTGATGCCCCTCTCGCTCCCCAACCCGCTGCCTCAGCCCTGAGCCCCCTCCTGGAGCCTGCACTCTGCACCCCCTTCCACACCCCAACCCCCTGCCCCAGCCCGGAGCCCACTCCTGCACCCCAACCCCTCATCCCTAGTCCCACCCTAGAGTCCTCACCCCCTCCTGCACCCCAACCCCCTGCCCCAGCCCGGAGCCCCCTCCTGCACCCCAAACCCCTCATCCCTAATCCCACCCTAGAGTCCTCACCCCCTCCTGCACCGCAACCCCCTGCCCCAGCCTGGAGCCCCCTCCTGCACCC